TTCTTCGAGAACGAATTAATCTATGAAAATTATCCGTAGTTTCCTGGTATAAAATGCTATACTGAGTGATTATATTCTGATAAGAACTGGAAATTTTATTCAACATAGGAGGGTGTATCAAGGCGGATTTTAGAAAAGTATCAATAGAAGTTAAATTAATGGTTAAAATATGACGATGATAATGATCAAACATCTGAGCTTGACCAATTAACTCCTGATAATATCCATAATTTGGGATCGGGTGCACTTGAAGGGCCAGGTTGTGGCTCAGCAGGTGGATTGTCCTGTAACAATGGAGCCTTGCGTAGGCGTTTTATATTTCTGGGATGGGTGTTTGTAGGCCTGTTTTTGGAAGTTACAGCCTCAATTTGAGTTTGTTTTGCCGAAGTGACCTTGGCTGCTATATAGGGTGCTGTAAGCTTATTTCGAGGATTTTTGTGAATATAAATGGGGTCTCCAGGCTTAGGAGCCGGGGTAGATTCCTGAAGTTTTTCGTTACGTTTATTTAAAATTTCAGTTTCCTTATGATAAAGTTTACGATACAGAGAGTCAATAAAAGGTGGGAGTTCATCTTTATGCCGTTGGTTATATTTTTCATATACAGGCATATCATTATCAAATTGAATTTCTTGAGCATAGGGACCATAGAGAATTGAAAATGGAGAATAACCAGTTGCAGAATGTATTGATTGATTATAGACAAGAACGCAATGAGTGACTAAATCTTGAAAATATTCTTTAGGACGTTGATCTTGCATAACTCTGGGTTTTTCTATAAAAGTGGAGTGAAAACGCTCGACGGGACTGTTAGAATTTGGATTATTTATTGTAATGAAATGAAGTTCGATTTTGTGAAGTTTCATGAATTCTTTGAAAAGATTATTAGAAAATTCTGTGCCTTCGTCACATATAATTTTCTTAGAATAATTGTGGTGTGAAAAATAGTGTCGTAATTTGCTTAATATTGTAACTGTAGTTTTGTCGGGTATTTGATAGACTTGGTCTTACTTGGAAAATTATCAAAATATTTTCTTTAGAGCATGAAAATGTATCAATATGTAAAATATCAAATGGTTTTTCACCTAGAAGTGAACCTTGAAGAGGAAGTTTATATGGATGTCTTTCGTATTTGTTACGAAGACAGATATCTCACTGATTAATGAAATTCGATATAGTGCAACGCATATTCGGCCAATAATATTTGAGTTTAAATTGATTCAATGTTTCAATAATACCATTATGATTATTTTTGTGAGTGAGTCTTTAACACAATTTATTTGAGCTTCGGGATCTTCTATATCTTGAACACGTTTAGTGCAAAAGTAAATTCGAACAGATTTATTATATGTATTTTTTGCATATTCGGAAATATATTTTTGGATATCGACGTTATCAGTAAAAATGTAGTATCGCTGATTTGGAGCTATAACATCATGAAGTGACTGTTTGACTTCGTATTTCCAACTTTTTTCGGTGAGGATAACAAAATGTTGATGTTTAGACTTGAATTTTAAAGAATACTTGAGGGAGTACTCATCTCCGAATTTCATGATAATTTGATTAGTAAAATAGTTTATAGGTTCTTCTGAAAATGGGACGGTAGCAACGGGATGTTCCACTGCTGAATGTTGGGTGGATTGACCAGTTTGATTTTCTAAGGTTTGATTGTCAAATTCGTCAACATCAAATTCGACATCTGAGGAGTCTGAAGGAGGATTGGCAATGATAGATTCAGTTTCGTGCATATTAATTTCGATACGGGAAAGGGCATCGGCAACGACATTATCTTTGGCTTTTTTGTATTTTATATCGAAATTATAATCTTGTAACTTGAGTTTCCAATGAGCTAAAAGGGAATGGGGCTCTTTAAGTTTTTGGATTCAGACAGTTGGATTGTGATTAGTTTCGACAGTAAAGTGAATACCATAAAGATAAGGGCGGAAGTACCTGCAGGAGTCTAAAATTGCAAGAAGTTCTCTTTCTATAGTTGTATAATTTCTTTCTGAAGAATTGAGAGTACGAGAGTAATAAGAAATTAATTGGCTTGCCATCTTGGCTTAAATACGAGCCTTTAGAGACACCTGAAGCGTCTGTTGTGAGGGTGAAGGGTTGTGAAAAATCTGGATATTGAAGTATAGGGGAGTTTGTGAGAGAACTTTTACATTTTTCGAATGCTTCTATATACTGCGGATTATCTATGTCTATTTTTTCACCTTTTCTAGTAAATCTTCTCATGGGGGCAACAATTTTGGAAAAGTTATGAATAAAACGTCGATAGTAGCCTTCCAGGCCGAGAAAACTTTGAAGTTCTTTCTGCGTCTTTGGAATGGGATAATTTTCGATAGCATGAATGTTATTAGGATTGGGCTTATACCCTCTGGGGTAACAACATGACCAAGGAAAGCGACTTCTTTGCATATTCGAAATGACCGTTCGGAACTGTGAAGGCAGTTTTTTTTTACAGAATTGGGGTGAACTTTAATTTGATGGAAACCTTGGGCTAGGTCAAGAGTCGTGAAATAAGTGCATCGACCAAGATTGTCAAGAATTTCGTCTATTCTAGGGATGGAGTACTTGTCTTCAATGGTATTTTCATTTAATTTTCGGTAATCTATTACCATACGGAATTTTTTCTTTCCTGAAGCATCTGGCTTCTTTTCAACAATCCAGCAAGGAGCTGAGTAAGGCGATATTGAAGGACGTATAATTTTATTTTTTAGGATATCGATAGGAACGAATCATCCTTAGTACGAATAACATGTTGAACTGAGCTTGTACAAGTGAGCATAGAATTTTCAGTGTGGAAGATATCTTTAAATTTATGGCATAGACGAAGAATTTTTTCCTTTTCTTCAGAATTCAAGTGTTGGGCTCTAATCATGTCACTTTTGAAATAACAGTTAGATAGTTTCTGGGGAGTTTTCTCCTCAAAATCTGACAAGGAACGGGCAGAAATAGGTTTCGAAAAATCAATATCAATATTTTGTGGCTTAGGGATTTCGATATATCCATCTCTAGAATTATGTATGGATTCTGGTAAAATAACTTGACCTTTATGAATGATTTCAGGGGCAACTATTTCACCATTGTTCACAGATACAGGGATAGACAAACGATTACTGGTACGATAAACAATTTCGAAAGGGATTTGTATAGCTATGAGATTCATAATCAATATTAGCACCTAACTGATCAAGTTCGCCGGTACCAAGAAAGATATCAAAATCATCATGCCAGTCGGCAATCCTAGCTATGAGAGATTGATTAATACCAATTTCTTGAAATATAGGGTAATACAGGTTTCTAGTATACGTTTTTGGAGTTCTCATGGAAATAAGAGTAAATGGTTCATAGAATTCATATTGTGAATCATACATTTTGGCTGCTCTAGGAGTGATAACGGTGTCCGATCCACCGGAATCAATCAAAACTTTTAGATTTGAATGGGGCAGGTGATAATATGGAAGCTTAGTCTGCTTCGAAAAATTATTTAACTGGATGGTTCGATATCTGGGGGCTGTTGGATGGCTTGTTCTTGAAAATTTTCGGTAAATTCTTGCTGATTTTCGTAATCATCATAATATTCTTGATTGAGAAGTTCATTTGAATATTCGACAGAATTTGGTTCACATTCTACGTTGTGATGGAAAGAGCGGCTGTTATGAGTGGTAGTAGACATAGGGGTTGGCCTATGATTATTACTTTGCACGGACATAGGAGTGAGTCTGAAATGATTATTGTTTTGGAAATTATTTTGACGATGAGGAGGTCCAAATACTTCCCTATTAGTAGTAGGAGAATTTCTGTTAGGGGTGAATGTCTGATTTTGTGAACGATATTGTTGAAAATGGCTTTACGAATTTCTAGGAGGATTCAGACAAGATGCTTGTACGTTTCGAGATTGGTTGGGACGTGAAGGGGTCCTTTGATGTTCATTGGGATAAGTAGAGGATTTCAAATAAGACATGTATTGCTGTTGTTGCTTATGGTTATCTAAAGCAATACACTTTTGGAGAGCTTCATCTAGCGAAGATAAATCGTAATGAGAGAGATGATCACAGTATGGATTATTTATACCAGTACAGAAAGTTCTTAGTGCTTATTTCTGAAGAATGTAGCTTTGAACTGAACTGCTTCTGGATTATTTTCGTGTAGAGAAACATGCTGTAAAATATCATTAAGAGCTAAAGTAATGCGGTGATGATAGTCTTGATACTACTGAGAACGTTTCTGAACAGTAGTAGTAAGTTTAGTCAATAAAATTTCTTCGGTGCGATGATCGCCATACTTTTGGAGTAACAGCGGCTTAATTTCAGCCCAGGTTATTTTATTATGGAGGTTCAAAAAATCACGAGCCTCGCCCTTAACCTTAGACAGTATATTAGCATTAATGATATATTTTTGAATAGCGTCCGCACCTTGTTGTGAAAAGAAATTAACTAAATTGTCTACCGAATTTACAAAAGTTGAAAGATTTTCACCAACATTGTATTCTGGCAAAGTATTGCACAAGTTACTAATATCTGAATTAGATAGTACCATGATTGGAGTCTCAGTAATGTTTTCTATGATTGGAGTCTCAGTAATGTTTTCTAGGGTTGGAGTAGAGCTACTTGATTGTTCAGTGAAGAGATTTTCAAGGTTTGGAACAGTGTACGGTTTGAAACGAGACTGTTCTTTTGAATTTTTTCGACTATTACTTAAAATAACTGCTTGCAATGAATCTTGTGGATACTCAGAACTCATAGGTAGAATATGGAAAGGGACTCACAGGATAAGAGGAACCAAGATGCTATTCATATCCAGTTGGTCTGCTATTCTCCTCAAGTCTGTGGTACACTTTGGTCTCCTGTCGTGAACTGCCAAGTCGTTGACACAAGCCGATGATCCTCGGGGATGCCGTGCAGTTAATCCTGTTCGCAGCGCCAGTTAAATTCCCGAAACCGGAAAATTACTTTTTAAAAAAGTTTTATTTTGGAGACAAGTGATTATTACAAGCAGGAGTACAAGACTGAACTAACTGAATTCAAAAGATAACAATAAAAATGAAAAATGTCGATCTTGCAAAATCTACAAAGGTGAAGCCCCGTTCATTGTGGTGATATTCGATATGCATGTCCGGCATGGACACATAACTCGCGTAAAAGTACATTTGTTCGTCGCTAGAACGTTGTTAAAAAAATCCGGACTTTCAATGTTTTTGTGCCAAAACCACTGACAGAATGTTAGTCTGCGAGGATAGTATTCTGGTAAGAAGGCCTGCACTCGTTGTACATGGCAGGGATCAAGCAAATTTTTCCGTAGGATTCTATGGACTATGGTATGCGATAGTCCTACAAGGCGGCCTAATTTCCGAGTGCTGATATCTGCATTGATTTCCACGATATTTAAAATTTGTTCCTCCTGCTGTACAGTAACATGTTTTTCACGAGTGCGAATATTAGTGGGCTGAACACTTCCTGTATCTCGAAGTCTTTGGTACACTTGCACAAATGTTCTTCTGTCTGGGTGCACCCGTTAGCGAAATCTGTCGCAATAAATTTGAGCTGCAAGATTTGAAATCTGACAAGCTTCACCATAAACTAACAACATGTCGGCAAACTCTTGATTCGAGAATATTGTAAACAACACGCCCGATGCCTGCTAACTAACCACTGTTACCGTTTGCGATCGATGTGTGTTTTAAATATTCAATTTAATGAAACTTACTTACTGACTACAAATTTTGGCTTAACTTAGAAACACTTCATGCCACTTATTTGTTAATTACCCAACTTAAAAACGTTTTAGATTTGATTATAAAGATTAGTAAGATTTTAGTCGATATAAAGCACTTAAAGTTGTAAACTATAAAGCCTTTTAGACAAAAATCTATTGACTTTTGGACCATGGGTCTTATGAACTTTTTGACTTGTTTTGGTCCTCCCTATTACCCATTTCAATAATGACTACCATAACGTTTACACCCTCTATAGTGGTATTTATCTTTTTAGATTGAACATTGCGACAAGGATACAACTCTTTGACATCTTGTATGAAAAGGAGGCTTTAGGACGTTCAGATCGTAAGAAATATCTTTACAATTACCTGGAGGACACTACAAAATCGAAGGTGATGAACATGTCATTCCAAAATTCAAGATCTCATTTGTTGAGTTCTAGAAAAGTATGAATAAAATGGTTTTTCAGTACTTGTACTTAATAATTTTATATGATCGGATGATCGTGACGCTTTTCACTTCAAATCTATAATAAAACATACTGAATGAGAGAACATATACGAGTATATGAAAATAAAAGTGTTGCTCCACTGTGCTCACGATAAAAACAAAAGTTGAAACAATAATACCTATCAAATTAATGATAAGACTTCAACTTTTGGTTTTAATGTAAGTGCAGTGTAGCAAGCCTCATTTTTATATCCGTTCTGTGTTTTATTTCAGATACAAAGTAGAACGTATTGCGACCATGCGCTCATATAAAAATACTATGACAAAAATGCCAAAACTCATAAGCTTTGGACTTAAAGAATGAGTAAGTACTACAATAAAAAGAGAAGTGTTATGAAATATTGAAAAATTGAAATATAAAGTATTTAAAATCTCATAGAAACGATTAAAATTAAATTTTTGTTAGTTTCACGATCCTTTTAAAACCAATGGCAATACTTTTCGCAAGAAATCAAGTACTCTACTAAAAAAAAAAATATTGATGAAAGTTAAAAATCCATATATTCTCAGATATTTAGCTGTAAAATTTTCATAGATGAGATCAACTTGAAATTTGAGATATGCTTAGTGCCAAAACCTTACTTATAGGACCCCGTTTCTTTGTAGTCCGGGGTTATTCTGGCTGGAAATGTTGACCTCATAATTGTTTATTTTTCTACCCATTCAGAACACTCACTTTCCTAAAACTGTGATATTTACTTTAGTATAACAGGAATTCATCAAGTCAAGTAGCTTGATATTTTCATCAACTACTTAACAAGAAACGGTAATGCTTGACTTGACTTATTTTTCATTGCGCGACTTGATTTGAGGTCAGGCATTTTCAAACTACTTGACACTTGATGCCAAATCATATTATTTCTGCTAAAGACCTCAGTGATATTTATTTGTACAACGAATGAGCAGCATTTTATAGTTTAATGCTAGTAGAAAAACAGAAATCGTAGCTGTCATCTCAAAATCTGTAAAAAGCGTCAAGCAAATTTGGTAGACTCGAGGACAGAATCGGTAGGTAGAAAAAATCGGGGCTGACGTAAGATCAGCGGCGAAGCAAGGGCTTTTGGGCCACGCAGGACCATGTACGAAAAGTATATTATCCCGGCCACACAACACAAGTACACAAGTTTCCAATAAACATACAAACGAAGTAAAATTAAACTTCTTCAAGAAAAGCAACTTAACAGCTAATTTTAATGTTTTTTACAAAGACAAAATATAATGCCCAGCTTAAAATTAATTATTATGATATAGGAGTGTAGCTCAAAATCCGGGCAGTTGTCACATTATTTTTAATTTTACCACCATTATGAATCCGTTAGTCTTAACTCGTGATTAGCGAATGAAAAGCTAATTTAAATGTTTTTTGTATCAGCTGATGAAGAGTGTTGTCTCTTCGAGTTTGCAGTGTTATCGTTTTATTGTTTGTGATACGATATACATATTATTTTATTCAATGTCTGTAGTTTTCTCTGAAACTTGTGACAAATAAACTTCCGTTCTGTATTCATAATCTATTTGTATTTATATTACAAAACTTATCTTGTAATATCAAGCTTACACAGCAGTCGTAAATACGACTTGACTTGATATCAGATTGCTAATATCAAATACTTGATTTGAACTTAAATTGGTTTCAAGTCAATTAAAGTAGCTTGGAAATCAAGGCAAGTAGTGAATCCCCAGTTATCTGCATTCAGCTTGCTTTCGGCCAACCCTGTATCTCTCCTCCATCCTGCCGCACCGCATATTCACATCATCTTCCTCCGGTTACCCCTGCAGAGTTTTCCCTGCTCCAGGCGCTCCCTTACCCCTCCACCACCAGGTTTTCCTCGACCAATCGAGTAGCAGCACGCCGATTTCCCCAACCAATCCGCTTTGGCGATGCCGCGATAAAAATGCCCCGGCTACATAATCGGCCATGATGGCGAGGCCGCTAGTTTCTAGAAAGAGACCAACGCGTCAATTCAAAGAGAGAGACATATTCTGGCTGCCGGAAAATTACAGACTCCTTCAGTGAAGTTGTTAACTCTGTACTATTTAACATACTGTGACGGAATTACTCCGCCGCACTTCAGTATTTACTTAGTATAGGTACGCATGTTTCTTACTACAGTACAATATATGTAATTTAGTCAGGAATTTAGTTATATTGAATACTGCCCCTGGTCGTCTGAATAATAATAGCATTTATTATCCAACAAGTACCTATTAACAGGGCAATTACATGAACAGAATATACTAATAGTCTACGACAGAGTTTGAAAAGAACATAATCAATTTAAGTACTAGTAAGACTCTTACACATAACATGCACTGGTGACTTGACCAAAACGTTGGTCCTTGCTGTAGATGGCTTAAAACTGACATAATTGCGTGATGATACCTTTCTTTTGAACTCTGAATTTCAGAATGCCCACACAGCTCTGCATAACCTAAAACCTTCATCAGGATCAACTCCATCAGAATATACATAATATATATATGTATAAGGAACCTCCTTTGAAGCTTTTCAATTTCGTTTATATAAATTTGGTAATACGGGCTCCATATACGAGTAATACTCGCTTAACCAAGGTTGCTACGCATATACAGAGTGCTTCAAATTCGACCCTCATCTCTCGAATCTCCAAAACTGTAACAGACACGAAGTCGCTTAAATGGGGGTAAAGATGCGTATTTAGGTAATCAACAAAATGCCGCTTGGAAAGTTTCTAAATCCCAAGTACTTTCGGAGAGAGACTGAATTTTCACAAGATCGTTTTAATTTTGGGACTGAAAAGGCCCCTTTAATGTACAAAAATTCAATATAGCGTTCACATGAAAAAACAAAATTGATGATGGAAGACGAAAGAAGAAATGTCGAATTGAAAATTTGACTGTGCCATCTTGTAGAGGAGAGTAAGTAACAATGACAACATGCAATTTACTTTGAAATCCCATCTCGAATAACATAAGGAGAAAATAGGGGATAAATCTGGTATGCGAAACAAATGACTATCGGATAATTTCAAAGCCTACCTAGGAAATTCTGTTTTTTTTAAATAACTAAGGTTTAGCAATCTCAATGTATGACGTAGTAAACATTTTTGGGATCAGACTTAAAAACTCTATTCATCTGTACAAAAATCTAAAATGGCGTCCGTTAGAAAAAAATAAGGTGGATGCTGGATGAGAGGAGACGAAACATACTGAAATTCTAAGATCTTGATATCGCACCAATACTGTTCAACTCTATCTGTAAATCTAAACATGAATATTCCTTATAGACAAATATATTTTGATGTCGTCAGCAAAACATAATTTTCACAGCGGTCATAAAAAAACAATATAAATAAAAGGGGTCCCAAGTTAGACCACTGGGGAACACCGGATGGTGGTGAGTAGGATTTGGACTTGAACCCGTTATGTACTCGGTATTGTTTCCATCCTGATAAATAGGACATCAACAAGTAAATAGAAGCGCAATCGGAGAGCATATGTTTGTTTTGAGGCGAAGTCAATGAGATTTGAACAGACTTAAGTGATGTACTTTTTGAATGAACATGCAACCGAAACCTGAGCTCTTTTTTTAAGCTGGCTGCAGAAAATATATCATTTTATGCTCTCAACATAAAAATAGCTAGTTTATTCCCATTATATTTTGGCTACTTTGGTAAACAAAGTACAAGTTAGTGAAACTTACAGTGAGTCACGTGTTTACACTAGGCCTCGAATTGTCAAATATATTTTAAAATTAAATTAGTATAGACAAAAAGGATAATTTTTTCGAAGGATTTTATGTTACTATTTTAGACATGGACAGTAGGTATGGCGAAATGGTGTTTCAACACTATTCAGAAAGATATTCAAATGGCACGATAGTCTCTTCACCAGAACGCACTACTGAGAATATCGTGTGACAATTTACGTCCATTACAATATCATTGAAAAAGCTGCTCATAATGTTGAACTTCCACTTAGAGACACTTATTCCAGGTTGACTCTGCACTTCTCCGACAATGCTATCATCAGTTCATAAAGGATTATACTCGGCCCAAGTTAGTCCTTCGAGCGAGCTACAAAATGTGCAAAAATTAAATGGGTCAAGTCAGCCGATATAAAATTAGTACATACTCCATGGTATCCATTCATTTGATAACATTATCGCAAGTTTCTTGCCTCCCTAAGTATTGACCATCTGGCAACGTTGCTGGGCAATATGAGTAAAACACGTCATAAGCGCCAGCCATGATTCTATGACATCCCTGCCGACGATACTGTCAGTAGTGTCACTCGCAAGGTAGGGTTCATAGTATGAAGGTTGTCGTTGCATCGCGTCATTGCGAATAAACCTAAAGGAGCTTAATAACATTAGTAATAAGTCAGCAAAATCTGTTGTAAACACACTGTATTTCGAACAATATGGAGCACATTTGAGAATACATTGTCATTGTGGTCAAGAATTCGATAACATTTTACTTAGAGATCTTTGTTCATTGGATGATAATGAATTATCGTTTTCAAGCGTAGGGCACGAACAACCAAATGGTTCACTGGAACGTTTTCACGCTAGCCTTTTATCATCAAGGTGGGTGTGTTGAAAAATTTACATTGTTGCCAAACTTTTTGTAAAATAATAAAATTTATTATTTACATATCTAGGTTTATAAGCAATATTAACCTCAAATGAGAACAAAAATAATAGTATAATAAAATTATAGATCTGTACTTGCATAATCATTAAGTATGACAATTATTGATCAGATGACACTATGAAACTACCATATTTAATTGATAGCTTAAAGGTACTGAATAAAAATCCAAATGGGGTCCTCCAAATTTTATGCATGGTATTTATTTTACAGAATTTATACAGAAAAATGCATTCTAAAATTAGGTAAGCTACTGGTGTAAGCTTTTTCTGTACAATAAAGTTAGTCGGAGTTTCTTTCTTCAGCGCTGTCTGAATCTGAATCTTCATCACTCTCAAAGTTGATTATTAAAGGTTCGATGTCTGGTCGAT